GCTAATTTCAGCCCCCCAAATGCACGCAGGACAATACCTCTAGTTACAGTAATCTCAGTACATTTGTTACGGCAATCTGCTTACTATGTCTGTGTTGTGGTTTAGATGAGCCCGCCTATTGTGATTTCGTATCTACAGTTAGGGGAGAAATCTAATTTTACTTTATCATCTCTCCAACGTAGGAACCTCGACAAGTTAGGGAAGTTCTCAGTTACGGAGGAAGATTTTAACTTACGAACCTTTGAGATTCTTAGACGGAATGAGAAAGTTCTAAAGTTACTGATGGACTAAAGTTTTATTATACAGTTAATAATATGTTCATAGTATAACAGTCCCAGGAAACATGAATTAAATAGTAATTGAATAAAATAATACAATATATATATATATATATATATATATATATATATATATATATATATATATATATATATATATATATATATATATATATATATATATGATAAGTATTATGAAAAGAGGACAAGGTTCCTCATAGTTCCGATAGTCACAAAGTCAAAACAGGTGTTCAAGGTAAACTGTGTCAGAATAATGCTTCCTCGACCATCCCAAATAGTCAGCCGTGCCCCCGTGCCTCAATTTACATACGTATACATATAATAAACAAGGAGAGAGAGAGAGAGAGAGAGAGAGAGAGAGAGAGAGCTGTTCGACGAAGTAATAAACACACAACAAAAGTCTCTCATTTAGGTCTTTCATCACCATCATATTTTTTTCCGTCATCACTACACTCTAAATTGACATCGTCGTCCCAACCCTACACACCTGGACACACCGGCTACCTGAAACCTTTAACCTAATCTAATAACAACAGAAAGAAACATGACACACGAATTACTCTCATGACCAACTAGACTTGTACACTTATACTCCCTCACCATCAAAATATACAGGTATATATATATATATAATCAGAGAACAATAATATTACCTGGAGAGTAAATTTCATGCATCACACTATCATCTTTGTTGTTCTTCATTTACATACCTGTCCTCTCTCTAGACAAACTTTCTGCTGCCTCACCTTTCGGGGAGTCAAATCCATATCTGAATCTCTTTAATCTTAACAAACAAAATATGTAGGAGTAAGTTATATTCTTAACCTTAATATAAGAATGTGGATAGCATTAGGAACACCTATTGAGTGTCTTGACTGTGTGTATGTCTTGTATAATAAGGTGTATATCCTGTTCGTTGCTGCTGTTTTGTGTGTGTGTTTGCTTGTGAGTATGTCTTTGTTATTATTTCACGCCCGCCCGCCAGCCCCACCTGTCAGCCCCACCTGTCCGCCCGCCCGCACGCCCGCCTGCACACACACTCACACAATAACAATAATGGTTGCCCCTTGTGTAACGAGGAAGGCCGGCCCAAGGGCTACCTAGGCGTTAATTTGTTTAAGGTGTAGAAGCTGTCGTCAACACAACAACCACACCCTGAGTTAACGAGCTGCATGACCCAGTGTTAAGGAATAGTCCGAGAAGGCCGGACAACTCGCCAACTGCACTGGCTAACCATTACCCCGAAACACGATTCGCAAATCGATTAACATCCAGGTTCCCAATTACTGCTGGGTAACCAGAGGCAAATGGCGTAAAGAAACTTGCCCACAGTTTCACCCTGCCCTGGGATCGAACCTGGGTCCGTTCGCTTGCGAGACAAGCATGCTGACCATTACACACACACACACACACACACACACTTACTTCATACTCCCAGACAGGTAGTGGTGACCTTGGTCGGGCTAGACCAGGTGAGACCAGTCAATTAGTAATCTTAACACTCCGGTTCACACGTAGACTTGACCCTTCCGTATCCTTGGGCGTCTACCTCTACTTTCCTACTTCCTGGTTTCTACTACAACCCTTTCTCTGATATCTTGATATTGAAATAATTATTCATGCTGGAATTGTGGTACCTGACCGAGTCCTCAGGTTAACTACCATAACTCTCTCACTCTGAAAACTTTGGTAAAGATACAATCATTACCATCACAGTACCAGTAACGTTTGTCACTATCACCCACAGCCCTCTGCGATACCTTGGTACCTGAATCAACAACCTTACCATAATCAACATTGTATCTATCTATCATGGTTCTGTCTACTATATATTTACCACAATACCACAACCTTCTCCTCTACCTACATATCATTACCATCTTCAATACCTACAACAATACTTTTATCGCCCCGAAAACTTGTACTGAACTACTACTACCTGCTTCGTATCAACAACAATCTACCAGTACTTATCACAATCCCCACGACTGCTACTGCACCAATATCTATCACCACAACCACCACCACTACTACCACCACCACAGTATCTGTAACAATCTCACCTCCCATTACAATAATCCCTCACTACCCTAATAGGCTTAATATCACAATCCCAATCATCCTTACAACAATCTCCGCCACACCCACTCACCAGTACCTATCACCATCTCCACCATCACTCCAACAATCTTTACCACCACCATACCTGTCAGAAGCAGATCACTAAAGTTTTACCCCGCTATATACCTACAATAACCATAATCATCCATCCTGATAAGTACCGTACCACAATACCAATCCTACCCTACAAAACACCCACTATAATCACCAATCCTCCTACAGTACCTACTAATCCCCACACTCCTTCCCCCTCCCTAAGACTACCTATCACAACCACTTTAACTCATATGGACTACTCAAGGCTACTTCATCTCGTCACACATTTCCTCCACTAAGTATAGTACAAAAACCAGACCTCTGAGCATAACCAAACACTCATCCAATATTCGTCTTTTCCTTTCCACTTAGAATAAATTTCGAATCATCGTTTTTCGCATTTTGTTTTAGGTATTGAAATATAATGTAGAATTTGTGTGTTTTATGTTATGTAGTTTGTAAATACGTGTTGGAATTATCCAGTGGTTTTTTATATTATTCGTGTTTTGATTTAGTTTCTGGTGTACGTTTACACTCCAAAACGAGATCGAAAAGTCTTCTAAAAACATTCATTGTTACATACGAACATATGAAATAACACAAAATTTTATTACTTCTGACTCATGTTATCATTTCAGGGAGTGAACTTAAATAATAACCAACCGTTCATCTCATTTTGGCAAAGTTATGTTGATTGTCGCTGACTCGCAAACTAACTGATTCGATAAACACACCAAAAATAAAGATATCCCATTATCCCACTACTTATACTGTATAATGAAAATAACTTTCCGGGAAAAAAGAGCGCAACGAAAAGAATACTGATTGAATCAATAAATAAATGAAAGAGACATGTACAGAGTATAAGTACCACAAATTCGAACCTACTGAAAGTTATAGGTAATAAGAGAAAGAATTCACTGAACGTTGAATGAAAACAAAAGCGAAGCGAAATAGACATAACACTATAAACTCCGTAACAAGCCGACCAGTAAGCATAAAACAAAAGGACGTAGCCCGTTTATTCACAATTGGCGAGACTGGCAATTTTCCGAAGTAAAACATACTGCTACATTATACTGCATCGTTCATAAAATTAACCACACTGAACTACATAATCTAACCTAAACTAACCTAAACTAACCTTGAACTTCACCAAAACATTCTGATAATACAGGTATTTAGGTTAAGTTAGTTTAGCTAGGTTAGTTGGGTTAATTTTTTTCATGGATGATAATTACTGTAGCTCCACCAGATACATTGGAAAATTCACAGTCTAGTCGAATGTCAACAACGGCGCTTGTTATTTTACGCCAATTTAATGAAAGGCAAAATATCACCAAAATATCACAGAAATCGTTCAATAAGAAAGAAATATCAGAAAAACGAAACTGATCAGACATTATCCACTTAATAAGCAAGACAAAGAGATGAAAGATAAGTAAAAGAAACACCAATAAGCAGAAAACAAAAGAAAAGTGAAATCAGGACGACAGGGTTGGTCGACACGACATGTAAACACAATAAGATCACGTGACCAGAAAATCTGTGCAAATATGGCAACCTTACAGACGTCAACACTTGCTTTCGGAGTTCAAGTCTGACGAGAAGAGTAAATATTTATTCAGGCAAACAGTAAATTCTTTAAGCCTCTCTGAATATCCAAAGGTTCTTCTGTAAGCAAAGACGCGCATTCTCTATTCATTTGTCTCTCTCTTTATCCATGTAAACAGGCGATACATATATAGATGTAAAAATGTCTATCTCTATATCATTTTAAACAATTCTTTCTACATGCTTTGCTATTTCGCTCTATCTTCGTATCTTTTTATTCATAAGTATGCATGTACAGCACCTCCTCTGCATTTGTCTATCTATATATCTATAACCGCCCCACCCACCTATTTAAACCTAGTGAACGTCTTCCCCCTTCCCCTCCCTCTGTGTAACCCTGAAAAGGTCTACCCAAATAGCTAAAGCTCCTAATAACCCCTTGGGGGACACTCGTTGTGCCCACAAGGACGTAAGACTCCCAAGTACCGCCAAACATTGTCACCCAGGTCAAAGATGGCGCTGTAGAGCAACAAAAACACTGGATATAAGTTGTCGTGTGATGAAAAGAAGGAGGGGGGGAAGGAGGGAGGGAGGAAAGAAGGGAGGATTAATGTATTCTTGGTCTGTAGGGAGGAGAAGGAAGGGAAGGAGGGAAAACATTGAAAATGATAAATACTGCCAATAGGTGGGTAGAAAAGGAAAAGATGAAGTATTAAAACTTAAAGACTTATCGAAAAAAAAGATTGGCATAAGATTCGCCACAAAACAAAAAGATATAAAATACCGAGACTCACTCATATTCATTACATCTTCAGCCCACATATTACCCTTGAGCAAAGAATTACTTGACGCGTGAATTTTATGTTGTACTGTATACTAAAAAAAAAGGAAGAATTACGTTACAAAAGTAATATCAGGAAATATATATATATATGATTACGTAATCATTCTTAACATCTTATCTCTGGTATCGTAGATTACAGAAAATCCTGTTCAGATACGGCCACGACCACAAGAGAGACGTGTCCAGGACAGTGTAGATGTTGTTTCTATAGTGAGTTTTATTATTGTGCCTCGTCTACGTCTGTGTTTGAACTAAAACAATAAAATATAGTGTGAAGAAGATAAAGTTTGTCAATAGAAAAGTAGAATAGATAAATGATGAAAACAAATTTCGACTACGGAATGTGGAAGAAGTGAAACAGTATATAGACGATACACTATGAAGTACCGACTTGAATGATGATGATAAGAATTTCTGTGAAAAAGATCTGAGAGACATTGGCTTAATGTTCTTGTTCCAACAATATTTTCTGACAAAAAGAGAATCATCAGATTTTGGAAATTGGCTGTGTGGCTATTCGAATATCCTGGTTCAGCTGACCTTTTGGGTAAGTAGTCAATGTCTTTATTAATTCTTTATTATTTTTTTTAAATAATTCGTCTCCCTTGAAGAGTTTTGTTGAAAAATTATTGATTTTACTCATATTTTTCTTATATTCGTGGACAGTCGATATATCCTGATAGTATACAAAAAATCATGTCCAAGCTGCCAGTGAATGTTTGATAATGAAATTAAATAGTAAATATCTTAATTTTTTTCACAGCAGCGCTTGGAACAATGAGCGTGTGGGTATGTCTGATGATATGGGCGTGTGTTGGGCAGGTGGTATGGGTGTACCCATCCCAGAAGCTGAAAGTGGGCGTGAATGCTCCTTATTGTGAGCACAGGAACCCCACCCTCTTGTGTGACTACAAGAACGTGAATCAGGTAACGACATTTGTATATTCTCAGGTTTCTACTTTCATTTCTCCCTCGTGACTGTGGATGACACAACCAAAATAAATATCTCAGCATCTCTATTTATTAAGATGTCTAATATTCCAGGCAGTAACTAACGTTGGCCTCCTCAGTGACTCGTCTTTAAACACATACAAAACAAACCAACCAAACCTGACCAATGAGAGTCAATTATATTTTAGTTAAGTACAAATAGAAAGGATGGGTTGGTTCGTCATGTTGTTTTCAAAGAAGTTCGTGAAACCGCAGCCGCCATGATGGAGAAGGACCAAGGGAAAGGTTTTAAACGAGCTAAAAGGTTAATTTTATCGTTCAAATTAAATAATGAGATTTCGATTCATTAACACTAGACATAAACAAATCGCAGAGCTTCGAACAAGTTTCCTCATTATGTAAGATAGGAAATGAAAATACAAACTAAACTAAAATACAGTATTAAAATGAATAGTTGTATACAAGACCTTGTGTTTCATTATTTTGAATTTGTCTTAATCTTCTACATAGCTCTTCCACAGGTGGTGAATATGGTAGAGCAGGTGAACGAAACAGTCCAGAAGGTGTTTGTGTACAACGCTGTGAAGCTGCAGCTGAGTGAAGCTGTGTGTGTCAGTGTTATGGTGAACAATGTGGCCGACGTGGTGGTGGTGAAGGGCGAGGAACACCCCTGTGACCGTCACCTTACATTCTCAGCTACTAACTCAACCTTGAACAGACTGCCCAGCCAGGTGGATCACGTTCATCTGGAAGACACTAACATCACCTCGCTGGCTATCAGAGTCAACATCACACAACTCAACGTAATCAACTCCATCATCAAAGTCCTCGACATTTCCAGCTTTTTCTCCACAGTTAACTTTGTCTCAACTCACATAGACACTTTCCAGAGGCTACACGTGACATATGGCTCAGAACTTCTGTTGCAAAGGACAAAAGTTGACGTATTGTCTCCTCAGGCTGTAGTAATAGACGGGGGAAACCTGGTGATGAGAAACTCCTCTGCAATCACAGTAGCGGAGGAAAGTGTTGTCATGTATCCAGGATCTAAACTCAATCTAGAACAATTCTCAGGCAACTTGAGGGTGAAGGCCATGGGGCGTGTTGGTGCCACGAGTCAGACAACACCATGTTCTACAAGACGCCCCTGTAACTGTGAGACAGCGACCAGTTATCTGGGTGCGTTTGTAACTTGCTTACTGCTACTGATTGTCTCAGTTATCATAAATATATTGGGTGTTGTCTACGTGAAACGCATCTATTTACAACACGACAATCACAAGACGGAGGAAAGACAACACAGCCAGCTGGGACCTCAGTCTTGTGTTAAATATAGCAAGGGGGAAGAAACACAACTGTTACCACAACAGTCATCATCAGACAGTCTCCAGACGTACAAAGACAGTCTGTTACAGTTACTCAAAGATTTTGAGGATAAACGGCAAAGAGTAAAATCCAAACATGAATCATTTATCTCAGAGTTGAATAACGCAAACGAAGCTGAGATGAACGACAAGAAAGATAAAGCAGACGAAAACTTGGACGAAAATATAAAGTTGAAAGAAAAAAAGATTTTAGACTTGGAGGAAGAGCTAATAGCTATTGATGCTTCAGGAAAATACGCCGCCATTAAGAAGACCCTCGTGGAAGCTAAAAAAGAACTCATAGATGCACTGAAGGAGAACGTCAAAGTCAGTAAAGTAATATACCCAGATTCTCAAAAATTAGTTAAAAGAAAGAAAGTTTGGAGTGAGAATGATCAGTGGCTCAAGAATATGGCAGAAATAAGCCAAGATTGGTTAACACGTTGGAGTGAAACTCGTACATCTCATGATGAAATTACTACTCGGTTATCACCTCTTGAGAAGTTATTTATAATTACCGGTGACTTGTTGAGTCGCGAGGTTAAAAGCGTGTTAAGAAAGTATGAAAGTGAGCGTGTACAGACGGAGGTTAATATTAAGAATATATCAGAAGAAGATGAGATGTTAAAGGAAAGTGAAAAGTCTAAGTACTTGACAGAGAATGAGAAATTACAAACACGTCTTAAACAATATATGAATGGTCGAAAAAACCCGGATGAAAAAGAAATTGATATAGTTTTTAAAAATTGTTTCACACGGTGTGAATGCCTCAAGGTTAATCTTGAAACAAAGTTACTACAATTAATTGAGGCTCGCTCTGCAGCTGGTGATAAGTTGAGTCACCAGGAAGCTCTTGTGAGTATTCAAGAGAAACACCTGGCAGACATGGAGACAATAATGAACAACATATTGGCAGTTCAGAATTCGTATATTTTCTTACTGGATCAGATACTTGACTGACAGACACAGAAGAAAGAACAAGACAAGTGTAAAGCTCAAGACGAAACTATAGACAACAGCGCATCTGGTGGATTATGTGGACGGCATAGGGTGGCAAAAGAACCCCAGGTTTGTCGGAGTCCCCAAAGACCCCCACGAGGACTGGGAGTCATCTCAGCCCAAAATTTCACACCTGCTGAATAAACATTTTGACCTTACTGAAGTCATGTTTGACCGTGTTCAACACGTCGGTAAATCAAACTCCTCCCGCCCCCGTGACATCATACCGAAATTCTCTTCCCCCTCTGTCCGTGACTGTTTTATCAGCGCACTAAGCCGGAAGACACTACAATCTTCGTCAACGAGGACCTATGCCCAGGCACGACTAAAGCCCGCCAAATGCAAATGGACAAATTTAAAGAAGCCAGGAGACAAGGGAAACACGTGACGTTCCGTCATAAAACCCTTGTTGTGAGGGGCTCTAGGGCAAGTGGATACACCCCCACTCATCCACCATCAGGCCGACAAGAACCTCCTCCCCCCCGGAGAGGGAACCAGCCACTGCCCGCACTCTGACTATGACCTGTGGAGTTTCCCTCCTGCCGGGCAACTTGGGTACTACACGTCAACCCTCTGCGGGGGGAAACAACAGCCCACATAACAAGGTGACAGGCGCCACCTTTCACTCTTACTGGGAGTCACCATTACACTTTGTTGGTTGTAGCACTTGTGAGAATGTTACCCCCCACAATAATAACTTTTTTTACCTTCCCTTCTCACACCTTAGTGACTCTTGAGTTTTTGCTGTTCCTCAATCAGTACCAATATTCCCACAGTGATGACGCTACTGTTGTTCCCCTGGATGTGCTGAACCATATGTGTTACACCCCCTTTACCAATGGTGTCGACACAATACTCCTTCATACTGACCCAGATGCCTTACTACAAAACTCACTGGGTTACACCAACCCCAATTGTTACTATTACTTTCCTGATTCTCCCGAGTTTACCTCTAGTCTTCTACTGTCTCATTCCTTCTCCTTAATTAGCCATAACATTAGCAGTATTCCCCCTCACTTAGATACCTTTATATGTCAGTGTACATATTCCATTGCCCACAAATTTGATGTACCTGGTTTCTGTGAGACCAAACTCACTAACGATATTGAACATTTGTATAGCTTCCCTAATTATAATAGACACTGCGTCAACACGTCACGACACAGTGGTGGTGTCGTGCTATATGTTGATATTAAGTATAACACTTCTATAAGAGATGATTTAAAGGTTCAAGAGATCATGGGGAGTGTTTCACTGAATTACGTAACGAGTTACGAAATATTCTAGTACGAGTAATTTACAGAAGACCCCACACCAATGTAAGGAACTTTCTTGATAAATTATCGGAGCTTATCTCAATCTCTATCATCAGTTCAGAGAGGAAACTTTGCAACATTACATCAGATTTCAATCTTGGTTTACTTAAATCAGAGTCGGACACCTCAGTAATAGACCTTCTTACTGTCTGTCACTCTAAGCTCTTCTTCAACACTATAACCAAACCCACTAGAGTAACTGCCACCTCTACCAATGTGATAGATCATACCTGAACTAACAACATTTCTAACAATCTTGCAAGCGGAATTATCTATAATCATATCTCAGATCACTTCCCAGTTTTTGCCATGTATAAAACAGCAACAAGATCGAAAGGTCTAGTAAAGACAATAAAATACAGAGACTACTGTACCGCCATCATGCTCTTGTTCGAAAAAAAAATTAATGAAAGCTAAGTGGGATCTTGTCTAAGCCTTCGACAACCCAAACGTGATCTGCTGCAACTCTTCTCGCATCTTCAATGTTTGCTTTGATAAATGGTTCCCCCTCAAGACTAAGTTAGTAAAAACTGTATCTATCTCCAAACCTTATATTACAAGTGAAATCAAGGCAATGATAAAAGAAAAACAAACTCAAAGAAAATTTGCAAAAATACCCATAACTTTCGGTGATGCTTAGCGAAGCATCAGAAATAGAGTAACTCAAGCAGTTAGAAATGCCAGACGCAGCTATTACACAAATAAGCTGCGGCCATTATCGGGCAACAGTAAGAAAACCGGGAGTATCATCAATTCTATTCAGAACAGGATCACTCAACCTACGGCTCCCCACTCAGCTTTTATGATAAATGGTTCAGTTGTAATTGAAACCCTCCCCTATAACGAACCACTTCAATGATTATTTTATCAATGTTGGTAAAAATCTTGCTGAGAGCATCCTTGATCTCCATGAGGAATTTATAGCCTACCTCAAGAACAGGCAGCATAATGAGTTGTTCTTAGCCCCTATCACGGCAGATGAATTATTGACCATCATAAAAATGTCCAAAGATGCAACAGCAGTCGACGAAATATACCAATGAGTATCATTACGAAAGTAGCCCACTTATTGCAACTTGTTCTCCAAGAATTACCGCCTCTTATCGGTTCTCCCATCTTTAAGTAAGATACTGGAGAAGCTAGCATGTAGTAGGCTAAATTCCTTCTGCAGTGTCATTAACATCCTTACAGATTCTCAGTTTGGATTTAGAGCTAGAAGGTGAACTAAGAGTGCCCTACTATCTTTACCCATGACATCTTAAACTCCTTTGATGAAAGTTAGTTCACAGTCGGAATATTCCTGGACCTCTCTAAAGCCTTTGATACTGCGACCAACTTGAAAAAACTGATCACACTAACAAATATGTTCCTAAATTAAAAATGTTAAAATTCGAGAATATTAACACCTACTGCTGTGCCATATTTGTTTATAAATCTGTCAATCACTTGATTAATTATTTCCAGTTCCGGAATAATCAGAGATACAACTTAAGACATCCAGAGCTACTAAGACCACCCCACCCCCTCTCCATGCACTCCTCTTAGTCCCAGACCTCCATTAAATAATCATGGTGTGAAGGTGTGGGACAACTTACCCCCACCCATCCGAGCAAAGACTACACTCCCTTCCTCTAAATTGTCTCTTAAAAAAATCTACTGTCTAAGTATAAATGTTTTTATAATACTTACTTTATGCTCTTACTTTTATTGTACCATCAAAACCATTACATTATATATTTTCATGTAGATAGATAGACATTATTATTGCAATAATTATATATTTGCCGTCAAGACATGATCCCGACTGTATATGACCCCTTCTTTCACCTTAATACAACCCATGTTGCATTGCTTCTCCCACTTATCATATTACTGTATATCAATTCCACTGTAAAATGTTTATACTTATAATATAAATGTAAAAAAAATATATATAAACCAATAAATAACGAAGTAATTATCGTGGTAAGATTCTGATATGTTCTTGCCAACACCATATTGTGTGTAGTATTCCAGATGATACTAAACGTCACATAATACTTCCTTGAGATAAATGTATAGTTTATACCAAGAGCCACTAAGAGAGCTCAGGCTCTCAATTGTCTCAGCCATGTCAATATTGCTATTATTGTCCACATTGTATCTGTATTTTTATGCGAAATAAACTGCTTCAATATCAATATATCAATATTAATATCATCTTCAAGTTAATCAAATCTTCAATACACAGCTGGACACATGAAGACATTGTTTCACCACCATATCCTCGCCAGAGTCATCGCCTTCCATGTTAAATTCACTGGATTACACGATGATTTAAATGATTCTCTTATTATGCTATAGTATATTTAAGCTACAGTAGTTGACGATTATATTGTAGGCCATATAATGTTGTCTATAAATATATTAATTTTAGCATCAACAACAATCTATGAAAAGTGTATTGTCTTTCACTACCATTTTCGTCGTGCATGGAGCTGTTTGACCAAAATAAAAAGCAACACAAGAGTTTCCCTTCGGTTGCTGTTTTTCATCATGTCTTAACAAGTGTAACAGATGTGTTCCGCTATGGTGAGTCTCTTCAATAACAAGTTCTCTCCATCAGGTTTACCTCTGTAGCTTCACACATCCCTGCATCATCCATCAGCAGTACAATTCACCCCCTGAACCACATGACGTCATATTCCCTGGTCATATATACAACACCATTTCCCTTCATATCCAGTACCTCCCTCAATCTGTCCTTTCATGTCCCCCCCACGTGTCTCTAGTCAATCACTTCACTTCCTTTATTACCCATTCTTTCAGTACGTCTTTAAGGCCTCTGTAAGCCCAGGTCGGCTCTGTACTGTACCTTTCACAAACACATCTCATTATTTGCATCACTCATATTCATTTGATCTTCAGCCTTTAAGCACGACATTTCTGGTTCACCTGCGTCAACTGTAGAATAAAGTAGGGTCAAGTATTGCCGCGTCCACGTCGTTGTTTTCCTGACGTGTGAGTTTGATGTTGTATTGTATTTTATAAAAATAAAAGGAAGAATTACTTTAAAAATGTTGTTAGCTGCAACATTAATATATAAATATATATATATATATATATATATATATATATATATATATATATATATATATATATATATATATATATATATATATATATATATATATATATATATATATATATATATATATAAATACTTATATATATATATATATATATATATATATATATATATATATATATATATATATATATATATATATATATATATATATATTGTCATGGGTTGCGTTAGGCTTACCCACGCAACCAACTCCAAAGTTTGTTTTACCAGAGATAAGACGCCCGGCGAGGCATAACTGGGACATGTATTTTTCAATTAGTGTATGTTAGCCAGCCTTTAGGGGGGTGAGCAGTGAAACAGTGTTGTACTGTTCATCGCTTCACACCCAAAAACCTCATTTTGAGTAGTATCCCCTGAGCCATGGGTTAGTTAAGACGTCGTCTCCATCCTCTCCCTCCTGAAAGGGGGCGGGACACCACACCACACAGAGTCCTCCACCGCCACTCCGTCCTGTGAACTGTCGTCGACACGAGATTAAGTGTGTTAACCTAGGTTTGTTATCCCCGTGGAAATATCACGTGTGGAAGCCTGGTTGCGACAAAAGCAATCCAGGTTGGCCTACTGAACCTAAGTGGCTAATTCAAGTCACGCTTACCAGTTCTCCTTGCCGCGACAACCGTCTACAGTGACTGTTAGTGGCGCGAGACTATGTGTGGTAACCCAAGAGTACTTTTGTTGTTATGGCCGTGGAAAGAAGTTCTTGTGATGAAGCCTGGTTGCAACAAAAGTAATCCAGGCTGGCAGTAAATGTATCACTTGAAGAATTAAGGCTCTGTTAAGTCATACCCACAGTAGAGTAATCACATGAGTTCCCGAGTTGAAAATTCCCTCTTTTAGAAGATTAATTTTATCACAGCATGAATGTGAGTGACTCATATATACATGCAAATTGTAAATCATTGTATGGAAGCTTGACAAATAAATGTAAGTGCAATTATCTGCCCGTATCTGTGATCCTATCTTATTATTACTAAAGGTAATGACTGATTGGTTATGACAAAGTATAACCAATAACTTAGATGGATGTTGGAAATTAATGGAATTCAATAATTCATCATTTATCAAGTATAAATCATGGAATGTCGAGTGGTGGAGTGAACTTCTACGTAGATACGCCATAATCTCCTGTAAGTAACCAGTGTGAAGGTATCGAACTCTACGGTAAGAAATAAGAAATACGACATATATTATCTTTATATAATATAATCCACTCTTACTCCCACTACGAAAACTAAAACCATGACAATTATATATATATATATATATAAATAAGATCTGTCATCATTGTAATCATTCTTATCATCTTATCTCTGGTATCTCAGATTAGAGAAGATCCTGTTCAGGTACAGCCACGACCACAAGAAAGGTGTGTCTAGGACAGTGTAGATGTTGTTACTATAGTGAGTGTAATTATTGTGCCTCGTCTATGTCTGTGTTAGAACTAAACCAATGAAATATAGTGTGAAGAAGACAAAGTTTGTTAATGTGGAAGAAGTGAATAATAACTCAGTGGTCGTATTTTAATTTGTACTGAAACATAATATAGATGACAGATAATGAAGCATTGACTTGAATGATGATAACAAGAATTTTCCAGCGACGAAGAATATTATTAAATTTTGGAGTTATGAAAATTATATGAGTAACATTGGCTTCATCATGGATTCTACTCTTGCCTTTATAACATAAACAGAGAAAGAAAGCAATTATCATGTGAATAATATCATTATAATCACAGAAAATATGTAGAAGGAATGAGAGATCGTTCATACTACTTGGCCACAACTACCTTTACAAGTGTTTAGAGTTGGATTACGAAGTAGTTATTCTTAACGTGAACTTCAGAGTCCACCTCTGTAACTTTGTTAACGGTGAGATCTCGAGAGTAAATCTTTTCCGGAGACTAACTTCCACTGGAAATGGTCAGTGTGTGCCTTTAATGCCGCCAATATTTTCAGAGAGAGCGAGAAAGAAACATTGCCTTTGGAAGTTGATTGTATGAGTCCGGAACTATATCAAATCCATCTGACCTGGAAGGGATGGATAGATGTGCGGAATCATTGTACTGCTGTAAAGAAGACAGTCACTTATTTTCCCTTATGAAACTATCACACAGTTAAATATTTCATAACTATTCTGTTCGAGTTTTAATTTATTTTTGTGGTGGTGCAACATTACGCGGACATTATGACAATTATTATCACTTCTTTATGCATTTATATAAAAATAATAATAATAATAAAAATAAATAAATAAATAAATAAATAATAAAAAAGCTAATTTCTTGTGTAAACATTTGATGAATATATAATAAGCGTCGTCATGCGTTCGACAAGACCGAGTGGTGAAACCTTCTCTTCTCTTCACAGCCCTTCTGGGACAATGAGAGCAGGGTTAGGGGTGATGATGTCGGTGTGTATTATGCAGGCAGCACGGCCGTACCCCATACACCTTGACGTGAGCGTGGATGCTCTTTACTGTGTGCTCAAGGGCCCCGACCTCTCCTGCAACTACACGAATGGTGATCAGGTAACTATAATATGTCGTGAGCCGTAATGGTTGCTTGAATATCTATTTCCACACAAGTTTTACCCTCTTAACTGAGGTTGAGAGAACGTATCTTGTCATGGTAGAGTCAGAATACATTTCATATAAAACGAATAAAAGTGGCTAGATGCGTTTTTCCCTCTTTATCTAGGAAGGCCATGAAGTACATTCGGGCAAAACAGCATTGGTGCCTATCATCGTGTAGTATTGTCCTCTGAGGAACGAGTTTTATGCCCTTCTGGGTTAATATTTAGTAGTTGCCAACACCTACTTATATATTGAGTCTTACATAGAGAGAAAGAGAAGAAACTAAAAATAAATAACGTTCCCGCCGAAAAAAATTATTTTTCGAGTCTTTTAACCGATAAAATAACCAACAATATTACTTGTTCAAAGTGGGCAGGGCTTTAAAGTTGAGGGAAATTGTGGGGTAAAATGCTAAAAAGAACACCACACAAACATTTGAATACTTTACTTAACGTCTCCAAACTTGTAAAAATTAAAAAAAAAATCACTTTCGAGATTATGGATCCCTCCTCATCTGAACACCGAAAACAACACCATCACCTACTAAACACCGAAAACATGAATAAGGTAAAGCAATAATAGTTTGGTTATTTTCAGAGGTTAGGAAACGTTAGGTCAGATTTTCAAAGGTTTGTTTAGTATTTTTTTGTGTGTGTATTTTACCTCACATTATCCATCTACTTCATAGCCCTGCCTACTTTGAACAAGTAATATAGTTGATAATTGTATCGGTTGTAATACTCGAAAGATATACATTTCCGACGGACACGCTATGGAATAATTTGTTTTAATTTATTCTGTCTCCATATATAAGTAGGTGTTGGCATCTTCTAAATATTTACCCCCCCCCCACCTGTCCTGCTGATATGGCAATTCCTTCATAAGACAGAAGAAATAAACTAAAATGAGTATCCATTATAACATTGACTCAAGGTGGAGTGAACGTAAAAATCAACAAGGAATTACCAGAAATTAAAAGGAGGATTATAAGTTTTCAGTCAGTCAGTGACCCGAATCCTCTGTGACATCATTAACATTATTTATGCTCAATAAGTGATTATACAATACTGTACATTCACAGAGAAGAGAGACGTGAGGAATACCACAACTCTGCAGACGGATGAAATAAGAATCGGCAACTGTATACATTATGTGAAGAAGCACTCTTAGAATTTCATCTAACCTCACTGAACTACGACTACACATGAGGTGCACCTCGAAAGATGAGAACAGATTATATATTTGATCAGGAAATACTGAACCGTAAATTGTGGTGTATCTCATAAATAGACTAAGTCATGTGTTATAATGAAATACAAATTAATAATCAAAGTAACAGTTCCTCCTTAATACTAGTTTTGTTTTTAATTCTCTACGCGGATATTTTGTATAGTATTTGTGACATAAGACGAGTATAGTAATTGTTCGGCTAACAATAACTCATTACCTTACTACAGTGTTATTCAGTTTTTGTTGTCATTCTACGAAATGATATTCACTTGTATATAATATGAGACAGGGTGATTCTTACCTTCAGAACCCAATTGTGACGAACTACACGTGGCTGTCAGAAAACAGTTAGGTAAATTTTCTTTTAGTTTTAGCCACTGCCCATTTTGACCTCCCGAGTTGGTCCATAAAGCTGGGTTAAGATCATGCTCAAAACCTGTTCTATTAATGACTCCGCTTATAATGAAAACTTAGCTTAAGGTTATTCATTCCTCGATTGTTTGAGTAACAAGACCTGAAAACTTCTTTTAGAGTCGTCTACTAATACTACTACAAATACTTCTAGAGTTACTACATCTACTATTGATATTCATACTATTACAAAGAGCAGTGCAGCTACAAGTACTTCTTTTTTATGTCTGAATTATAGGTGAAGAATACATGCCATAACGACACCGGACTTAAACTCTTATCACCCTTGTTGTTGTTATAAGGTAGTAGGCAGCTACCAAACATGGAGGTACTACTGCCTAGGAAGATATTGGAAGCATAATGTGTTGTCTAATGGTAGACCCTGCTGCTATATGACATCACAAAAATTGTGACCAAGTCCCAGGTTGCTCATCTGACTTTCTGCCTCATTTACACAAAATTGCAGGGTCTCAATTGTTTCTCTTACTTTAACAACACAGCATACATATATCGTTTCTCCATGTTGAGTGTTGTTGTTATTATTATTAGTATAATTTTATTTCTATGTTTTTTATATTTTAATAAAATTTTTATTTACTATGACCTAATTATTATTATTATTATTATTATTATTATTATTATTATTATTATTATTATTATTATTATTACATTTTCACCCCCCAGGCCCCTGTTACCTTGGTTAATTCCCAGTAAACCAGGTTGGTAACACATATAATATAATTGGGCTTTTGGTAACGAAACCCAATTGAAGTTTCTTGTTTTATTACAAAAGGATTATGTCTATAATTCCTGAGTGTAGATCAACCGTAAGTTCCACTATTTATGAGTGAATGAGAAAAGGGACGAGGTTTATGTATATAAACGTGAATCACGTCCGTTTGATAAAACTTGATGTGAGTGACTGATGAGTAGTGACCCATCGAGGGAGAACGGTATGGGTACGTCGTTCCCCTCTCGAGGGAAGACGGAGCCATCCACTGCGGCTCTCAAATAACGTCTTCCTCTAGTCAAGGATATCAAACTATTGCTCGCTTCAGGTGGCCAGAGAGCCGGCTACTTATGCCTTTACTCAGCATAGTATGACGCAGCTTCCCGTGGGCACACCTTATCACGTGCATTGAACATGTCACCTCATAGCCAGTGGAAAGTTACAGGGGGTGAAATCTGAATATAAAATCAGATGTAAGAACCCATTTATATAATACTTCTGTTGATGAGACAGGGGCCACTACACCCCGATGTAGGTCAGTGACCTGTGCCCGGGTGGGCTAATACCAGTAAAAAAAATATAACTATCAGGTCACAATATTTTTATGCTGTTTTACTAATATTCTTTTGTGCGACTGCTCAAACCATTAACACTAGTTCTTGGCTAGTTTTTATTTGTATTCTAGTGTAACACCATACGGTTTCTGCTTAAGGAGTCAATTAAAAGCGTTCTTAATATATATATATATATATATATATATATATATATATATATATATATATATATATATATATATATATATATATATATATATATATATATATATATATATATATACTGTATATATATATATTATTTTTATTTTTTTTATTTTTTTTTTCACTTAAAATAATTTGTCCAATTTTGGGGGTAAAGAATTACTTACTCTAATATGACCTGACTAAATAAATTCACATTGATATCTCTATAATAATTACGATTGAAGTAAGAGAATAAGTGTATACTGTATATTAGGACCAAATAATCAGGGTATTAATTAAAAAAAATGGCGCGATACCATAGAGCAGGGAAAACATACCATTCATTCACCTCAATATTAACTTCATTCAGTATTGTCGGAGATGTCGTGCTATTTCAGGGGTCTCCCGCGAGGAGAATATGATATATTCCGGGCATAATGAAGAAGTAATAGAAAGACTAACATAAAAAAGGATAAATTATATACAAACACGATGCCGGTGTTTGAACAAGTATCTGAGACAGTGTTACCGTGGCGTGGAAGTTACAAATTTATTTAAGAACTTCTCTAATACCTACATTACATATAGTGGTCAGTCATTTCAACCCTTGCCAATTCATACCCCTGTCGCCCCATCCCTGTTAACTCAACCCCTGTCGCCCCATCCCTGTTAACTCAACCCCTGTCGCCCCATCCCTGTTAACTCAACCCCTGTCGCCCCATCCCTGTTAACTCAACCCCTGTCGCCCCATCCCTGTTAACTCAACCCCTGTCGCCCCATCCCTGTTAACTGTGTCGCCCCATCCCTGTTAACTCAACCCCTGTCGCCCCATCCCTGTTAACTCAACCCCTGTCACCCCATCCCTGTTAACTCAACCCCTGTCACCTCAACCTGTCAACCTACCCCTTGTCAATAAAACCCATCTTTGTTTGCTTGGATGTAGAAAAAAAAGTGGTGAAACTTTAACTAGAAAAAATGTCTTCATAAGCCTTTTGGAGATCAGGGAGGAGGGGGAAGGGCGACAGGAATTCAAGTCTGATCATAGGGGGGGAGGGGGGGGGGCCACAGGAGACGAAATAAATGCTTATTTTTTCTCTCTCAACAATAATGTTCGATTAACTATATACAATTCATTAGTATCTTTTAATTAAGTGAAATGTTGTTAATTTCAAAGCAACTCTTCCACAGGTGGTGAATATGGTAGAGCAGGTGAACGAAACAGTCCAGAAGGTGTTCGTGTACAACGCTGTGAAGCTGCAGCTGAGTGAAGCTGTGTGTGTCAGTGTTATGGTGAACAATGTGGCCGACGTGGTGGTGGTGAAGGGCGAGGAACACCCATGTGACCGTCACCTTACATTCTCAGCCACTAACTCAACCTTGAACAGACTGCCCAGCCAGGTGGATCACGTTCATCTGCAGGACAGTAACATCACCTCGCTGGCCGTCAAAGTCAACATCACACAACTCACTGTCATCAACTCCATCATCAAAGTCCTCGACATCTCCAGCTTATTCACTTTTGGTGCCTCCATTAACTTTGTCTCAACTCACATAGACACTCTCCAGAGGCTACACGTGACAAATGGCTCAGAGCTTCTGCTGCAAAGGACAAAAGTTGACGTATTGTCTCCTCAGGCTGTAGTAATAGACGGGGGAAACCTGGTGATGAGAAACTCCTCTGCAATCACAGTAGCGGAGGAAAGTGTTGTCATGTATCCAGGATCTAAACTCAATCTAGAACAATTCTCAGGCAACTTGAGGGTGAAGGCCATGGGGCGTGTTGGTGCCACGAGTCAGACAACACCATGTTCTACAAGACGCCCCTGTAACTGTGAGACAGCGACCAGTTATCTGGGTGCGTTTGTAGCTTGCTTACTGCTACTGATTGTCTCAGTTATCATAAATATATTGGGTGTTGTCTACGTGAAGCGCAACTATTTACAACGCGACAATCACAAGACGGAGGAAAGACAACAAGGCCAGCTGGGACCTCAGTCTTGTGTTAAATATAGCAAGGGGGAAGAAACACAACTGTTACCACAACAGTCATCATCAGACAGTCTCCAGACGTACAAAGACAGTCTGTTACAGTTACTCAAAGATTTTGAGGATAAACGGCAAAGAGTAAAATCCAAACATGAATCATTTATCTTGGAGTTGAATAACGCAAACGAAGCTGAGATGAACGACAAGAAAGATAAAGCAGACGAAAACTTGGACGAAAATATAAAGTTGAAAGAAAAAAAGATTTTAGACTTGGAGGAAGAGCTAATAGCTATTGATGCTTCAGGAAAATACGCCGCCAATAAGAAGGCCCTCGTGGAAGCTAAAAAAGAACTCATAGATGCACTGAAGGAGAACGTCAAAGTCAGTAAATTAATACTCCCAGAATCTCAAAAATTAGTTAAAAGAAAGAAAGTTTGGAGTGAGAATGATCAGTGGCTCAAGAATATGGCAGAAATAAGCCAAGATTGGTTAACACGTTGGAGTGAAACTCGTACATCTCATGATGAAATTACTACTCGGTTATCACCTCTTGAGAAGTTATTTATAATTACCGGTGACTTGTTGAGTCGCGAGGTTAAACGCGTGTTAAGAAAGTATGAAAGTGAGCCTGTACAGACGGAGGTTAATATTAAGAATATATCAGAAGAAGATGAGATGTTAAAGGAAAGTGTAAAGTGTAAGTACTTGACAGAGAAAGAGATCTTCGAAAAGGGTCGTGATAAATATATGAATGATCTAAAAAACAAATATGAAATAGAAACTGATATAGTTATTAAACAATATTTAACACATCTAGAGCGTCTCGAGGTTCATTACAAAACAAAGTTACTAAAATTAGATGAGGCTCGCTTGGCAGCTGGTGATAAGTTGAGTCACCAGGAAGCTCTTGGGCGTATTCAAGAGAAACACCTGACAGACATGGAGACAATAATGAATAACATATTGGCAGTTCAGAATTCGCATACTTTCTTATTGGATCATCTTCGAGTTAATCAAATCTTCAACACACAGCTGGACACATGAAGACATTGTTTCAAACCATATCCTCGCCAGGGTCAGCTTCCATGTTCACTTGATTACATGATGACTTAAATGATTCTCTTCCTATGCTATTGTATATTTAAGCTACAGTAGTTGACGATTTTATTGTAGGTCATATAATGTTGCTGTTGATACATGATGTTTGTTGAATGCAAGAAACATCAGGGTCAGGGTCTTTAAATGCTGGTTGACCTGTTCTTAGGTAACGACTCCGGCGTTTGACAGTTCTAACCCTCGGTTGTTGTTTGTTGTGACCGACATACATACATTACAGCGACTACACTTGAGTAATAAAACACCTGAGGGCTGCAGATCATCAGAGATACGATCTTTATACTGTTGCTCTGTTGTCGGGTCTGAATATGATCTTGAATGGTTATAATTATCATTTATATTTTCCTTTTTTTTCTGTGTTGCATTTCAACTGGCTATGAGGTTCAGAAAAAGTGAAAGAAGAGTTGACACAGTGTATTGATATTGGCCAGAAGTGGTGTGGTGAGTTCGTAACAGACTTGTTTTAATGATACTAGTAGATTTGAAAAACCAATACCACGGTGTAGAGTGAAAAACTTTGCAACAGAGGAAGTAAAAGCCAAGTTAACTGGGAAAGATATGAAGAGCCAAGAGATACAAGCAACAAGAGACCTATTTAGAAGGTTATTATACTTAGCCACCCAAATTTATATTAATCTTTCTACAGTTTTGAGTTACGCTATCACCCCTGTACCTGCATCTCTGGCACATCTTAATGGATTAATCAATAAAACAGGAAAGTCTGTACAGTACTCAAAAAAATTAAACGAAAGTAAACAGTCATCCACCTTCCACAGCCAATACTTGTGTTATAGATATAATGTTTCTCATCAGATCTCTAGTCAGATCTCCCTGCTACCTTTGGCGGGGTGGCTGAAGTCCTGCTGCCAAAGTTGTGTGCTCATGCTAGATGTGTGGGCTTTGCGTGTGATATTTGTACGAGTCAAATCAAAGATAATGAACGACACATGCGTTGCAACTGGGGTCAACATTGTTATTGCTGGCCCTGAACAGAAACGGCCAAATAACTTGAGTCAAGCATTGTCATCCGGCCTTTTCAAGACATCACTCTTCAAATTCCTTGTTGCTGAATGGGAAAAGGACACCTACAGAGAAATGTTAGACGTTCATGATATCTATCTAGCACTAGAAGAAGAGTGTTATAAATTTGTAGCAAAAAGAGGATCAGTGTTTCGGCAGATTGTACCTGAACTTGGCTGTCAGCATGAGGAAGCAGACACACGAGCTTGTTTTGCATGTGAACCATATCAAGGAAACCATGACAGCTGCCCAGGTTAGTGTTAGAGCAAATGACACAGATATATTAGGGATCCTTTTTTTACCATGTTGCAAAGGGTACTGGTACGATCAAAGTTTGGTTGGACCTTGGATTTAACAGCAACAACTCTCGTAGATATATAGATGTTACTGCCCTTGCTGCTAGTTTAGGAGAGACCATCTGCTCTGCCTTACCAGCAATACATACTTTTACAGGATGTGACTACACATCATCATTTATGCGAAAGGAAAGATAAATCCGTAAATATCAAGGAAAAGTTTATGGTTTTTTAGGAAACCTTTTCCAAGGTTGGGGATTATCCAGAAGTATCTCCAGATGTGATCTTGTCATTAGATTCATCTGTGAGTACTCTCTATGGGAAAAGAAAGTTTTAAAGTGGAAATGATGGAAGATTTGCTTTGTTTAGGCAAAATACTGCACCTGCTACTCATCGGCATCCACTTGAAAATATTAAGCATGGTGATCCGAGCCTTCTTCCTCCATGCAAATCAGTTTTGGCTGAAAAAAATGAGCGTACAAACTACAGTATGGAAGAAGGTAGACACAACAACTCCAGTACAGTGGCAAGCAGAAGACAGCGGCTGGGAACTCAAACATGGGCGGTCCACAATAAAATGGTTTTAAGGTGATCAGATTCCACAGGAAATATGTGTGGCAATGGAAGACACAACCATGCTATTTGCAGATGTTAGTGAAGATGAATTAACATATGAATCATCAGGCGAGTCAAATTATGATTCTGACTAATGCATACTCACAAATGCTCAATTTATTTTGTAACTATGTAATGCTGTGGACGACATTCTATTTGAATTACAATAGAATTGCTTTAGTTGTTTATTTAGTACTGGGGTATGAGGTATGATAAATAGAAACTATATGATTGCTTCATAAGAAGATTGAGGTTGATTCTCATGTCAGTGTACCTTTGTTTTGATGCACTTTAATACCTTTAAAGTGCAGGTACGGTATGACATAAATCTGTTTTGTCAGAGGTATATACTTCAATGATTGTAATCAAACACGTATACAGTTTGTCTACAGTTTATCTTGTACTTAATTGTGATTCTATATGTCAGGGATATTACGCATTTTTTACTTGTGCACCATGATAATTATCATAAATTTAGTTTTAATGTATGATAACTGAGCTTCTGTGGTTTTTATGTTTTAATATGTGATATCTATGTTTCTATGATTTTTATAATTTTTATTTTTGTTACTTATAAAATTCCAACACAAGTGCACAAAATATTAAGGTCAAATTGCAAATACGGAGATGTTATTTCCCTTTGTTTGTAAAGAAAAAAGTCGCCACCGCGCAGTACAATTTTTAACCCGTTGCCACAGGTTTTTGGCCAGGCTGTATCAGGAAAGAAATGGTATTTTGACTTACTCATATAATATACAGTTCAAAGATACCAGCAAGTCTTTTGGCTTCAGACGGGTGATTAAAACCCTCCCTAGCTCTTCCTCTAAACTGTGGCTCAAGGCAGCTTCACTCCTCTGGCGTACTCAACCTCTGGTGGTATGGGACCATGTACAAGGTGCTTCTACGCAAGACCGGCAGAGGTGTTATCCGAACAGAAGCAGCAGCCCAGAAGTTACGTTGCAGCCTGGTTGAGATCGGTGTCGACTGTCCTCTCTGCTTAGGTCTGCATTCCTTTGCCTCAGGGAACAAGATATTCAGCCCCAAAGCCGACAACAGGCACAGATATTTACAATGAAGCAGCAGTCACTGAATGCTGCATAGATATGCAGGGTAGCTACTTTTGTGTTAGGATAATTAATGCAGCAGCAGCAGCAATAAAACTGTGTAATTATTTTCTCCCTAAAACCGTCTTCACGGGATAGCCGTCAATGTACACACAGATACTTCGACCAAGAACATCAAGAATGTGACCGAAACATTGTGTGTTGTGTACAAGATTACAAAAATAACCTTGTCTGTATCAAGTTTTTTATTTACATAAAAATTAATGTGGATATAGATAGTTGTGTAATCATAGTATCTATACAACGATGAGGTTTGAGTCTCTGCTTGTCCCGCCCGTAAAAGTAGGTCATACGCCCGCCAGTTATAATCAGCTGTCAAAAACTTCTGTTTTTTTTATCTCGGCTGGCAAACACCTGAATACTATCGCAAACTGTCGTACAAAAGTGCGACTAAACAGGGACTAACAGTAAAAGGGAATAAACACGTGGTTCATTTGTACAATAAGAAGTGGTGGAACTCACATGAGCCAAAGACAGATGCTAACCGAGCCTGCAGAACTGACAAGGCACTGGAACAGGGTGTTTATTTTTACTGGTGAGACACAGACAGCAGAGAGACACAAGGTAAATTGTTACTATATCCAGGAAGATCTGGGTGAGTGAGGGGTCTATCAGCTGCTTATAACAGGAACTATTAAACCATGTGGCTCTGGCTGAGTATTTATGTGTATGCGTATGTGTAGATATGCATGATTGTGTGATTGTGTGCGTGTCACGGTAAGTGGGGTGCCTCGCGGGCATAGACTAGACCAGCAGGGGATCTCAGAGTAGCTGTGGGTCCCAGAGGGACGGTGCATAGGCCCACTGGCATGAGGGCACGTTCTGGAGCCTACCAACCATTGACCTGCTGCCTTGTGGATTAACCTTGGCAGGTATAAGGCTACGGGACTAAACACCGAACGAAAAATCTGCGGTGGAGCCCCGCATCAGGCAGACATGCTTACAGAGCTCCAGCAAGACCCCAACGACTACACCGGCAGACGAAGGCAATGCCTGATGGACAGGCTACTCAGGCGAAACCTATCAAACTGGGCTATCGGCAGTCCATTGCAACTCTCCCTCTCCCCAGTCGTTGCAACACTTGCACCACTGGATCGGGAAAAGAGAGAGCCCAGATGTGTGGTGGCAGTTTGCGCTCCTGCCTCACCACATAAATCAACTCACGTGCAGCCATCACAACTCTGCACAGGGGCGGCACAGATAAGATGGTCGTTTATGCAGTGGGATCTAGTGCAGCAGTGCAATCCTGTTCTGTCCGTGCGACTGAGCAGCCGTTTCGAGGAGCCACTCTGGTCACCCCACACGGGGAGGGGGCTAGAAAAGGTGCCCTAAACATAGCCTGCCTAAAAGAACAATCTGACTGGGCAACCGCACCCAGTAAGGTCATCGTTATGCAGTCGAAAACACAATCAAAATCACAGATCCAAGCAAAAATAAACCATACAACCTCTTGGGGTCGCTGCATGGAATGTCGGGACCCTTCTGAATACTGGCACAAATGAGCGTCCTGAAAGAAGAACCGCCCTTTTGGCAAAAGACCTGGCTCAGTATAAAATCGACATAGCAGCAATTAGTGAGTCACTGCTCCCAGATGAGGGTCAACTCACGGAACAAGGGTCTGCCAATACCTTCTGGAAGGGTAAGCCTGCTGCGGAGAGGAACCTCATTTATGGAGTTGGCTTTGCCATCCGCCAATGCAACCTACACAGGCTAACTGAAATGCCTATTGGGATCAACAAGCGCCTCCTGACGCTTCGAGTCCCACTGAATCACTCACATCATTCCTTTTTCATCAGTGCATATGCCCCAACACTGAATGCAGAGAATGACATCAAGGAGGCCTTTTACGCTGACCTCGACATAGTGCTAACCTCTATCCCCAGAGAAGACAAGGTTGTGCTCCTTGGTGACTTCAATGCCAGAGTTGGCAGAGATGCTGACATTTGACAAGGAACCATAGGGAGAAATGGACTATGTAAGTGTAATGCCAACGGCCTACTCCTCCTCAGCAAGTGTGCTGTGCACAACCTCACTATCACCAAATACCTTGTTTAGGCAGGTCGACAAGTTCACGGGTTCGTGGCAACACCCACAATCCAAACACTGGCATCTCATTGACTACATCATTGTCAGAGAAAGAGACCGCAGAGATGTCCTCATCACCCGCGCCATGCGTGGCTTGGACCACTGTGACAATGATCATCGCCTCGTCAGAACCAAGCTCTCACTTCACATTGCCCCAAAACGGCGAAGGCAGCAAGCCTCCAGAAAAGGTTTTAACACTAAGCGTCTGGAGGATCCAGCAGTAGCACATACTTTCAAAGAGCAGCTCGAACATGGGCTGATAAGGAACCCAACAGCAAACAATGCAAATCCCAGTGCCGAATGGGATATTCTCGACACTGTCATGACAAAACCCTGCAGAGAGAGACCCTCGGCCAGATCGAAAGAATACACCAGGACTGGTTTGATGAAAATGACCCGGCAATCAATGTACTCATCGATGATAAACGTTCTGCTTTAACTGACCGGCAGAACAACCCTCAGTCTCGGACCAAACCTGATACCATCTGCAAGAAGAAAGAAGCGGCCCAGCGGGAACTTCGCAATCTAAAGAACGACTGGTTTAAAAATAAAGCAAGTGAAACACAAAAATTTGCAGATCAGCACAAGATGCACGAATTTTTCAATTCCACTAAAACATTTTATGGGACAATCACTCATGGCACAGCCCCCCTCCGCTCATCCGATGTGGATGTCCTGATTACCCAGCAGGTCTCTCAGCATCCAGAGCTGGCCCACCTCAGCTATCCTCCATCCCTGGATGAGGTAGCTACCGCCATCAAACAGATGAAAAAATAACAAAGCCTCAGGGCCTGATGGAATCCCAGCCGAGGTGCATAAAGCTGGAGGACCTCTGCTTACCAGCCGTCTCCAATCTCTCCCAGAGTATATGTGGGAAAAGGAGGAAATCCCACAAGCTCTTAAAGATGTCTCCATCGTCTATATTTATAAGAACAAGGGAGACCGGTCAGACTGTGGCAACTACCGTGGGATCTGAATGCTGTCCGTAGCTAGCAAGATTATCACCCGAGTCCTCCTAAGCAGACTTCTTCCTGAGGCGGAAATCATTCTCCCAAAATCCCAATGTGGCCTTAGACCAGTACGTGGCACCACTGACATGATCTTTGCTGTCCACCAGATACAGGAAAAGTGCAGAGAACAGCGTCATGACCTGTACATGGGTTTCATCGACCTAACCAAGGCCTTCAACTCGGTCAACGGGGAAGCCCTCTGGTGAAACCTCAGCCGTTTTGGCTGCCCACCAAAATTCACCGCCATTGTGAGGCAACTCCACGATGGCATGAATGGCAGTGTCCTGCACAATGGGACCCAGTCTGTGTTCTTCCCCATCCAAACGGGGGTTAAACAAGGATGTGTACTGGCACCAACTCTCTTTTCCGTTTTCTTGGCAGCCTTCCTTACTCGTGCCAGTGCCAATTTAGCCGGCGGGGTGGGCATCGAGTACCGGGTTAAGGGGGTCATTTCATTATAAGACAACTCCAGGCAAGAACAAAGGTGTCCGCAGTTTCCATTACTGAACCTCAGTATGCAGACGACCTCACCCTTGTTGAACACGACCTACAGGAGATGCTGAACACCTACGCAGATGCATATGCACACTTCGGACCTTAAGGTGAATGTACGTAAGAATCAGTTTCTCTTTCAACTTGCCCCTAGTTCAGACACCCCCATCATCCATCCAGCTTAACGGTACTACCCTCTCTAATTTTACCCACTTTCGGTATCTCGGCTGCCACCTATTCATCACCTCGGACATCAATGAAGAGATTCAACATCGGATCAGTTGTGCATCTCAAGCCTTTGGAAGACTCGGAAACCGTGTCTTCAGCTGTAGGGAGCCGAAATTTTCTACAAAGTTGCACGTATATCGAGCAGTGGTCCTCCCCACCCTGCTATATGGCAGTGAGACATGGGTAACATACAGGAGACACCTCAAGGCTCCGGAAAACTTTCATCAGCGTAGTCTACGTTCCATCCTCCGAGTTCGCTGGGAAGACAAGAGAAGAAATGCCATAGGTATTCTTGCTGTCACCAACTGTAGAAGCATCGAAGCTCCCATTATCCATGAACAACTACGCTGGACTGGCCATGTTACCCGCACGGACGACAGTACACTGGCAAAGCAGCTATTTTACAGTCACCTAACGAATAGTAAACATAACACCGGCGGGCAACTGAAAAAGTATAAGGATAGTCTTACGACAAACCTGAAAAAGTGCCAAATCGACCCCCTCACCTGGGAGTCGTCTACTCCACATCGTTACGCTTGGAGGAGCACCACACGAGAAGGTTTCAATATTTTCGAGTTAGCCCGACTGCAAACCGAGGCAGACAAGCGCCAGCGCCGGAAAGACGCTGCCGCCGCCCCTTCCTCACTAGATGTAGCTCCCCACATGTGCAACATCTGTGAACGACCCTGCCGGTCCCGTATCGGCTTCTTTAGTCACTTCAGAACTCACGAACATAGGTGACATCCTTAATAACGCATATCATTGCATCATAGCTGGATGATCGTCATACTCGATTCCGAGTGACAGCAAAGTAGTAGTCGTAGTGTGTGTGTGTGTGTGTGTGTGTTTCTTCTTTGTCGTATGGCCAGGCAGGTATGGAATCACTGCTGCTGGTCCTACCTGTCATTCACCTGGTGTTGTGTCCAGGTGGGCGCCTCGAAATTATTACCTTGGCCAGATACCACTCTCCTTCTTAAGCACCCCTGACTTCGGCTCGGCTCTAAGGTACAGTTAACTACAAATTTGGGCAAGGTAATATATTTCCTCGTCTTACTTACCAATGAGAAGAGGTCATTGGTCAAGTACACTATTTATATCAGCCAATAAGCGACCTTGGAGTGTTTTAAAATGATTGGTCCTGTTTGGTATACCACCGCCACACCTTTGGGTACATTAGTGCTCTTTTTTGTCGTAATTTATTTTAAAGTGGTTTATTTTCTTGTCATTTTTGCAGTGTATTCATCGACTCTTCCTAAATCAAGTCTTTTTTTAACTGCATTAACAATCATAATAATAATAATAACTTAGTAGCACAAGTGTATATCAGGACTGGAGGCG